CATTGCTTTGTTGCTCCACTTACTGATGCATTCATTGGTTGATTCCTGTATGTGCCCTGATTGGGGATCAAACACACAACCTTGGCGTATTGGGACAATGTTCTAACCAACTGACTTACCAGGCCAGGGTGAGACATGTTTGATTAAAAATAATTTCCCTCCTTAAAAGCTCAAGCTCACTGCACTTGAGGATGTAGCGAATCTATCAGAGGTTTGCCCTTATGGTGAACATATAGCTATAAACACCTATCAAAAAAGAGTTCCATCTCCATTCAGTTTACCCAGAAATATTCACTGAATATTAAAATGGTGCAACACCCCCCGCATTCATCAGCTTACGTTTTTGGTGGGACATTAGGAAGTTGTGGAGGCCCAGGGCTGCCCTGAGCATGGCTGGACACCTCTGGTCTCTGGTCCCCACCCCCAAATGCCAGAACATCCGGCTATTTATCAGAAGCAAAAAGAAAAAAAAATGTAGAAGCCCTCCAAATTTCCAAAACAACTCCCTAAGAGATGTTGCCCACACTAGAAGGAGGTCCCAGAAACCAATGAACTTGGAAATAAACAGGATAATTTCAGAGAGAGATAAGGGCCATGGGGGGAGGGAGGGGAGTGACAGCCAGGAACAGGCACATGACTTGGGCTGGGGTGGTTGGGAAGGTCTTTCCGAGGTGGATCCCCTGGAGCTGGGACTGAAAGGACAAAGTCTGGGGGAAGGTTGAGCCAGGCAGAGGGAACAGCCTGTACAAAGGCCCTGGGGCAGGATCATGCCTGATGTGTTAGAGGAACAGCAAGAAGGCCACAGGCCCATTCACAACCCCTCAAAGGCCACTGTCCATATCCTTCTACAGTGGCTCCAGACAAGCCCCATGCCCCTAGGGACAGCTTTCCCATCTGTGAAGTGGGTGTCCAGACACCTAGTGGCTCTGTCAGCTCCTCCCCCTTGTATTCTTCTCCAGAACACTGGAGCCCACACTTTGGACTTCTGCCCTCTGCCAACCCCATTTCATGTTTTGGACTCCTACCTTTGTCCCCTTTCCCATTTTGGACACTCCAACTCCCACTATTCCTGGGAATCACTCTCCATTTCCCTCTTTTAGCCCCAGACAACCACAGACCTACTTTTTGGCTCTGGATTTGCCTGTTCTGGACATTTCACATAACTGGAATCACACACTGCAAGGCCTTTTGTGTCTGGCTTCTCTCACTGAGCATCATTTTTTCAAGGTTCATCCATGTTGTAGCGAGTGTCAGGGCCTCGCTCCTTTTTATGGCTGAATATTATTCCATACCTTTGTTTCAAATATATATATTTAACTGTAAGTTCATAGTCTGTCATTTTTAATAATTACAAAAGTGGCAAAATTCCTGAAAATACAGTAAGTGGCTCTCGTGAGCTGGGTTGAGACAGCTCCAGCATGCCACTGGCCCACGAGCAGCCTGCCCCCACCACATGAATTCTTCATGCTCCACACAAAGGGTGTCAATAATTGATGGACCTACTCAACAGGTCTAAGACAGCCACTCCTCTCCTCTCTCCCTCATGGCTGCAAAGGCCCAGGGTGGCCTCAGGGGGCCCTCAGCTTCTGCCCATTGTGGCAAATGACCTCACAGTCCTTGTTCCCACACAACATCAGGCACCCACTACACTGAGCCCTTTATTAACCACTCAAGATTGCTCAGTGCCCATTAGAGATATGGCCAAAGGGAGAGGGGACTCTGCTTGCCTGAGGTTGGGGAGACACCAGTGGTTATCAAACTGGGTTTCCCAGAGCCCTTGGGGGGCCACCCCAAGGACAGGCAGGGTATGGCCACCTGCCAGGCTGCAGTGGGAGCCAGGACACTTTCAACTGTGGTCAGATTTCCAATGAAGAAAGAGTTTTGGGCCAGACATGAATGTTGGGAGATCATCGCCAAAACCTATGCAGGAAGTACAGGAAGGCTGGGACTCAGGCTGAGCAAAAGATGCTTAACAGCAAGTGGAGGCTTCAGGGTCACACGGCAAGAATGTGGATGCAGCCCCTAAATGAGCCCTGGCTCCACACAGTTCTCACCTACTCAAGGCCTAAGCCCTGGTCCCCTAGGATCTCATGCTATCCTCCCCACAGCAGCCACCAGAGGGCGCCCATGAACACCTGAGTCAGGTCCCATCTCCCCTGAGCTCAGGTCCCTCCAGGCTATCTCCCCAGTCCTCTCCCTGCCCTCACCACCTCCTCCCCTTCCCCCTGCTCACTCAGCCCCAACACCAGGAAAAGTCCTGCCCTAGGGCTACAGCTCAGTCTGTGCCCTCTGCCTGGAATGCCCTCCCCCTCTGGGGTCTCCCATAGCTGTTTCTTTCTTGTCATTCATGGCTTAGATCAAAAGTCACCTACTCAGGAGACCCTCTCAGAACCCCCATTTAAATTAACTTTCCCATCCATCTGACTCTCTATTATCTTCATGCAGTTACAACTAAGTGTAATGATTTTTCTGGCTGAAAGCACATCTCTTTTAACCCCCAAACTTGGCTCACAGTAGGTGCTCAAAACCTGTTGAGTAAATGACCTCTCAGGGTCACAGAGATCTTTCATGGGCCCCACTGTTCAGCCACGAAAACTTAAGACTCAGAGACAGATAGAGTTATTTCAAGGTTACACAGTAGCACAGCACCAGCCCCTCTGGAGGGAGGCTCCCCCAGGTGGACGCTCCCAACCTCCACCACACCACTGAACATAAGGGGAAACTGAGGCCTGCAGGACAGGGCCTTAGAAGATCTCAAAGACTCAGTCTGTGGCCCCTCCGTGAAAGCTCAGGAGGGTGGGATTCCAGGGGAGGTCGTCTCATGGAGGGGTGTAGGGGGATCCCAAAGAAGGTGTGCACGTTGTGGAACTGGACCTAGTCCTGCCACCTCTAGGTTCCCATCTCTCTGTGTACAACACCTGGAATGAGTTATTATTCAGCAACTGCCTCTGAGTGAGGCTGTTTCCATGCCAGCACCTGGAGTTTTTCCTAAGCACCCTCTTGTGGCCCCATTTGACAGAGATGCTGAGGCCTCCTAAATCCACCTCATCAGACCACAAGCAACCAAAAGGCCTCTTACCTGCCTAGGCCTCAGAAGAGGAAGCTGAGGCTCAGGGGCTCAGACACACTCAAGACTACACAGCAGGAGGGGGCAGGAGGGAACACCACCAGGCCTCCAATCTGTACCTGCCTGACTAATCTCTTCTCTTAGAGAACCCCCTGCCCTCCTCCCCATCAGAATGGGATTCGAGACCCCCATGGGTCTGGGCACTCACCCACCACTGGTTACCAGGCCTGCCAAGTGGGAGAAACACAGCCCAGGTGTTTGTGTGGCTGGGGCTACAGCTCTTTGTTATGGTTTCCATAGGCACAGCGTCCTGGGCCAGCCCCTCCTTCACCCCTCCCAGCTGCCCAGCCCTTGCCTGGCAGTCCTTTGGCCCAGCCTATTTAGGCAACTTGTTATGTTTTAAAGTTGACATTGTGGACCTGGCATGGTGGTGGAAGAAACAGCTTATGCAAAGGCCCTGAGGCAAGACCATGCCTGGTGTGTGAATGTAGAGGCTGGTGTGGCTGGAACAGAATTAGCGAGAGGGAAAGTGGGAGGATATGAGGGCCAGGAAAGATGCAGGACCCACATCCCTGCATTTAATCCTGGAAGCAGCACTTACCCCTACGGAGTTATGTTCCTCCCATTATACAGACAGGAAACTGAGGCTGGGAGAACCAAATCATCTGTTCAAGGTACCATGGCGAGAGGCAGAGCGGGAACCCAGGTTTGTCACATTCCAAGATCTGAACTTCCTAACCACTTACTGAGCTGCCTTCACCCATCTGCAGCCTCTCAGGGTCTTCACCTCTTTCAGCTGGGCTCAGACATACTCAGGAGGTAACCATGGAGGCCTGTTTACACCTGGGGCTGCCCCTCCTCCAGGGGGGCCCCCAGGATAGAGGTAGTGGAGCCGGCAGATCTGGGTCAGCTCACCTGCCAATTACCTCAGTGGGTGGCAGTCCCAGTTCACAGCTGGCAAAACTGAGGCAAGGCTTCAGGCCACCGGGGAGCTCCTAGGTGACCCGTGTAGGTGGGCCTGGCCTTGGCTCTCCCAGCAGCCTGGACCTGGCCCTAGCACCTGGCGCCAGGTGAACCAGGCAGAGTCCGTCGGAGTCCCCACGGGGGCTGGGGGAGCTCTCTGGTCCCAGAGCACCGCTCCATGACACTGGGGCACTTCAGATCCACTGTGCCTTCCTCTAACCCATACAGCTAAAGAGTGTCAGAGGCAGGGAAAGGGAAAGGGAAAGGAGCTCAGGCAGGAATGCGGGCGGCCGGGGAAGAGGGGTTTCACGGGCATGGGGTGGCAGGAGAGACAGACAGAGGGCGGCCGGGTGGCCCCCGAAATGCGCCGAGATAGGGGGCGCCCCGGCATCGCTCTCTCACCTGCTCTTCGGGGCGCGCCGTGGGTCCGACCGCCGGGATCCCGTCCCGCCGCCTCCGAGGGGCCGACGAGCCCGCGGCGGAACTCGCGCCCGATAACCAAGCCCGGCGGGGCGGAAAG